CAGAGCAAAACAGCAGCCAGTCGGCTTGGTCTTGATTGAAGACTGTCGCGACAGGACTCCCACCTGCCACCAGGTGGAACAAGATGGAAGCCCCGAACAAAAGGGAACCCAAACTTTTATTAGCTGCTAATCCCCATGTTACACCCCCCAAACTACATCACTAATACATCATGGTTACATCATGAAAGGGGAGGTCTGGTGGCCGTAATCTGAGCATCCTGGACCCTGCCCCATGGTTCCCCTTGCCCTCCACCAAACACCCATCAAGTGAAACAAAAGAGATCTTTACATTTCCCTGTTTCCCAGCCAAGTGAATCCCACCCTTTTGTCTTCATCTGGGTTTGTTATTTCTGGAATGGCTACCTGTCTGGCACTCAGGTATCAGGATGCCAGGGATTATCCCTCAGGCAGAGGGGCTGCTGAGCAGCTGAGCTCACAGGTCTAGATGAATTTCTGGAGTTTTCCCAGTGAGCCAGTACAGAGATCCATTGATCAGTGAATTCTTACATTTGGTATCGTGCAGCAGAGGCCCTTTGAATAGGCAGGAAGAAACTGTGACGAAGTGTTTTGTGGGAACAAGTCACAAAAGTCACAAAAGGGATTGTGCTGGTTTTGGTAGTGGGCTGCATGGTGTGGATATCTGCTGGAGGGGCAACCCCCCCCCCAACCTATACATAAATTCCTGCAACAATTACCAAATTTGTTTTCAATGAATCCGGGGACACTTTTCAACTTCAATAGGAATGATAGGATTTCGTCAGGGGACTGATTTGTAAATCTGGGGATTGTCCCCAGGGAACGGGGACGTCTGGTAACCTTAATATAAATGCAATTAATAATAATAGGAGTATTAGGTCATGCAAAACAAAAACATTACGAAACCACAAGCTAACACTCTATTTCCCCCCAAAATGATGCAAAACTTATATGCATGCAGAAATTAAAAATAGCTACTTCCTCGATTTCCTGATTGGGAAATTACCTTCGCTTCAAAGCACGGTATTGCGGGGAAACCAAATCAAATCTGTCCTGATTTTTTAAATTTTTTTGGGGGGGGAATAGTACTTTTCTGGCGATGCTCAGCACCTGCTGAGTCTGCCCATTGGGTAATCCAGTAGGGTGGGTGGGTCATCAAGAGACTTGGGTGCAAATTTCCAACAGCCCCCAAACAGCCCCTGATCTCGCCTTTCCCCTGAGCCGAGGCTGCCCCCTGGCGCCCAGCACTGGCCATGTTTGAAGCTGCCCTCCAGAGGCCTCAGCTGTTGGCATCCTGGGGTCGAAAGGCCAGCTGGCTGGCCCCCAGCTGGACCGTGTCCTTCCAGCTGTGCTGCTGCGAAGATCCATCGACCTCTGGCTCCGACATAAATCAGCGACTCAGGCCTCCCAGACTTGAGCACATTACACATAGCAGAGCAAACCGCACAACAGAAGAGGCCTGAAGTGGTGTGGACACATGCTATAACTACGGATTTCTTGTTGTTTAGTCGTGTCCGCCTCTTCGTGACCCCCTGGACCAGAGCACGCCAGGCACTCCTGTCTTCCACTGCCTCCCGCAGTTTGGTCAAACTCATGCTGGTCGCTTCGAGAACACTGTCCCGCCATCTCGTCCTCTGTCGTCCCCTTCTCCTTGTGCCCTCCATCTTTCCCAACATCAGGGTCTTTTCCAGGGAGTCTTCTCTTCTCATGAGGTGGCCAAAGTCTTGGAGCCTCAGCTCAACATCAAAAAAACGAAGATCATGACCACTAGTCCCATCACCTCTTGGTAAATAGAAGGGGAAGAAATGGAGGCAGTGAGAGATTTTACTTTCTTGGGCTCCATGATCACTGCAGATGGTGACAGCAACCACAAAATTAAAAGACGCCTGCTTCTTGGGAGAAAAGCAATGACAAACCTAGACAGCATATTAAAAAGCAGAGACATCACCTTGCCAACAAAGGTCCATATAGTTAAAGCCATGGTTTTCCCAGTAGTGATGTATGGAAGCGAGAGCTGGACCATCAAGAAGGCTGATGGCCGTGTTAGGGACTTCAGGATATAGACCAGAAATGTAAAAACAGGCAGCAATAGTTTATAAAGAAAAAGTTTTTATTGAAATGGATTTTTGTCAGACAAAAATGCAAATGGGTACATTCAAGAAAAATGAGAGAATGCCCCCGAGGGTTGGGGGCAGATAGTTTTTATAACCTCAAGCAAGGCACAGTTCAGCCCCTCAGCACCCCCCTTTGGCCAATAATTAACACTTCTTATGCATATTCATTAAAAAGCTCTGCCAATCAGATTGGCGGTAGCCTTGGTCTGTTTCAAGCTGCTGCGTCCACTAGATGTCTCTCTAGGCTTACTATCTGTCTGACCTGGTTTCACGATTCCCAGTAAAACCTCAACCACCTGTTCTCTTAGAAGTGTGTCCTGTGGGTCTAACAGCTTTCTGCCTGAGTCTACTTTTGGCCTTCTGCGGTGAGCTAGCTTTCCTGTTTGGGTCAACAGTCTGCTACAGGTGTCAACTGTCTGACCACACTGGATTTTGCATAGCTGCAGTCTTGCTTTTGCAAGAGAAATATCTTTTGGCTTTTAGCTTGCTCTCTAAGATGCTCTAAAATGGCTTCTGGCTTAAGAAATGGCGTCAGTCTGGTTCCATCACTCCTTCATTCCCCCCTTTCCATCATGAAAATGCTGACCGGTTCCGGTTCATCATTTTCAGTTGATGGATCCATAAGTTTAATGTCATAAAGAGCCAGTACATGGGTACGCGTAGCTGCATCAACTGAGCGGCTTACCATTCGGCGTACAAGCTGAATAAGGCATGGCAAAAGGCAAGATAGTAACAATAAGGTAAGAAAGAGAAAGAAAATCACAAGCAAAATTTCTTTTAACCATCCCCAACCTGGAGCCAGGAAGTAAACCAGTTCCACATACTGGGGAGTTCTCCCCCAGCTAAACTGATTTTGCGGTACAAATCTGCCTGCTTTTTAATGCGGTCAACATTACTCTCAACACGGTCACTGTGGTTGTATATAGTTGCTA